CAGCTGTATGTACAGGGTTTTGAGCATCAATACGATGTAGATACCGATAACTGATCTTACTCCAGACTAGAGCTGTCTCGCGGCCTCGGCAACGAGCCTGCGCTCCAAGGTCTCCTCCGTGTCTACAAGGATTACTACCCCGATATAATACTCGGGAGCACTTCCACAAGCCGGAAGTCGTTCGCTCCGGTGAGTATCCGTCTCTCGTACCACCACAAATGCAACCTCAGATCCCCCACGCTACTTCCCCGCATCTCCTTGTGGCACTGCGGATGCAAGCTAACTCGATAGCGACCTGATGCCGAATGGCAAGCCAAGATCGTTGCCATCCAAGAGGCTAGTGTGGCGGAAGACGACTCGAATGTAGACGGACAGAACGGTTTCAAGGTGCTACGAAGAAGACTCAAGGGCAGCAAAGGATCGGCGATTCCGGACGTGCATACCTACCATGCGACCGAGGTGGGCGAACATCTTTGTTCATCATCCTGGCAGGTACTAATGTTGTGTGACAGAGCTCAGCAACGCTTGAGGGCATTGATAGTGTGGACGATTTTGTGGAGAAGCTCGACAGGATAGAGCCACCGGGCCAGCTGATAGCGCTCCTCGTGGACCCGTTGCTACAGAAGTACATCGATCTGAAGCCATCACCGATCACCGACAGTCGATTAGGAAACTGGCTTGCAACGTGCCTGGAAGAGCAGTTCGAGGAGTACCGGCAAGGCGCTGCAAACGATAAGTACCTATCTGAAATCCTCGATGGACTTCTCAGGTACGCCCAGTACACTAAGGTGAGTGCGTTAGCATGTTTCACGTGCAGCCGGCTGATTGATCAAAGTCACTGCATCCTACAGTATTGGCGTTTCTTCGTGAGTACCTGCCGATATGGGACGGACAACAAGATCTCGATTCTTTGTTAGGACTGGTCTCTTATATCCCGATTGAAGTCTTTGAGGACGCCCACACAACCTATCTGTCCGCTGTCGAACGAGCTCTAGCACCTCATGGCATCACCGCATATACGAAGCTCGTCGATTTCTACACGGCTTTACTGCAGCACCACATAGCACAAACAGCATCTGGAACTTCCGAACGAAGAGAAACCAGACAGGAAGTACTGAGCGATTTAGTCGAGCATGTAGCCACCTTGTTCACATCCGCTCTCGTATCAATCCCCCCAGGTTCCAGCACCAACCTCACATCATCGATCCTCTCGTTCTACGAACTCCTCAGCACCTCCTCGAAACCACACATCATTCCCATCCATCTCCCGCCAATGCATCTCGTCTACCTACTCTCCCAGGACGCTTCCCCAACAACACTTGCCCGCATCTGCGGCATCATCGGCTCCTACAAGCTAGCTTTCGATGCGCACCCCAAGCCGGTCAAAACATACTACCCCGCAGAAGTTACCGATGCATTCAATTGGTGTCTGCGCGACATGTACAATCTGGTGTGGGTCTCTCGTGGCCTTCTCGTTCAAGATCAGAAGAGCAAGGGGTTGTATTGCGATACGATACTGAGGGGAACACTTAACGAGTATCTACGGAGAGTCGATCGTGGATACACTATTGGGGCTGCGTTTACGTTGTCGTATAATGCGTGGTTGGCCTCGCTGTCTGCTGTGGCGTGGCGTTCGGTTGAGAAGAGGGAGGTTGGGAAAGTGGGTGAGCAGAATGTCACACGGTATCACGACGGACCTGTTACGGAGAAGAGTCTGGAGGTACTGAAGATCAAAGGTGGTGTTGACGTCGATTGGGAGGGTGCGGATGGATATAAGGTCATGGTGCTGCAGTGGCTGACAGAGAGGGGGTTGGGTGGTATCAGGGATTTGATGTTCGCTACCGTTATCAACTTGAAGAGTACGGCCTGATACACACCAATTGTATAGACCCAAGCGGTCATCCGAGATGTAGGTATTAGCCTGGTGCTCGGTTTGATGTTCATGGTGCCTCAATATCCAAACTCGGAACACCACGACACGCGTAGCGCCAACAAAATTTTGAACATAACCCAAGCATATCCTGAACCCCTTGTAGTCGTGGTTCTGCTTATTTCGGCCAATTGTTGTCGCGCATGCGACTTCGTTTTTCTCGATCGACCGCTATTATTTTAGCAACACCACCTAGCTACCCTCACCGTCTTTCATTTCAACGCATCTCATCCGCATCAGCACTTCAACACTCGCGATACTTGGATCAATTACCTTTGAGAACGAGCCCAAATGGACGAACATACTGCAGCTCAGAAACCACGCAAACGCAAAGCGTCCAACCCCGATCCCGCGCCGCCGCGTACGCACCACGTGATCGAGCACTATGCGCCATTGCCCTACAAAAAGTCCTACGGTCTCATGGGACGATGCAGAAACTGTCTCGAAAAGGAGGATCTCATCCTATGCAGCGACTGCAATGCCATGTTTTACTGCAGCTCCGATCATCAAGCCCTCGACAAGGCAGAACACCAGACATTGTGCGACAGAATCCAACAACATCACGGCCTCATCGCTGATTCTGAGGACGCGCTGAAACGGGACTCGGGAAATGCGGGTGCGCCGAAAGACCCGTTTAGGACTGTGGGTGGCAGGTTTTGGGAGTATGAAGCGACGAGGGAGTATTTGTACCGGAGGAGGGATCTGCTGTATGAGCTTTATAGTGTAAATACTACAGCAGCGGTCCAGCAAGCATTAGACGAAGCCTTTGCCCTTTTACGATTGGATTCTGCGGATCATCTACAAATACGTTGTCTCGTACCCTGGCTGCTCCTCCGCCTAAAACGCGACCAAGACTGTTACGACTTCTGCAAATGGTGGGTCACAAGAGGGACCTCCGAAGAACACGACTGGACATCCGACCATCTACCTCTTACCGGCGAAGACGCGTTTGAATCATCTGAAATCTTTGAGCGGATTAGAGAGCCTGGGTCTACGGTTCCTGCGTCCTCGGCCTTCACGTTCCTCCTCGCCATCTTACTAGTCAAGCTACGCATGGTCTACGAGATGAAATTCCTGAAACACGGTAAAACCTCCACCGAGGTGAAAGATAGCAAAAGCACTATCATCCTATCCATCATCGACAGCCGCGAGAAAGAAGAATGGATACCGCTTATCCAGTCGGTGGAAGACCAGGTCAGAACGCTATATCGTGCTGTTGCAGGAGCGAACGAATACTTTTGGCCTGCGTTCCTCAATCGAGCTGATGATGGCCTGGAAGATACACCGCCGGAGGTGGCTGGTGTGGGCGATGAGGCGGAGATGAAGATTAAGTTGAGGGAGTGTATGAATGCTTGGTTGGAGTCACTGGGGGCTGAGGGGTTGATTTCGGATATGGAGGGGGGTATGGATCATGTGCCTTGGTGGTGCTCCAATAAGGAATAGAGCTTTAGATTCTGTGTATAACTCCTCATGATTCACTCAATTCCAAAGTGTCGGAAGTCTACCACAGCGGTACTTGAGCCACGTCACGTCACGTCACATCACATCGCAGAGCATGCATACATGTACAGACAAGTCGTCCGATCTCGGCGTCGAGCATAGCCGCCCATGTATCATGCAGTTGGAATGTGACATATGCTGGCAGACATGCATGATGCATATACGAAGTATGTCACCGCGCATGCTGCGACGTTCACGTGAGGCGTTGGCTAGGGTCGAGATGCTGTTTGCTGGATGTGATGTGCTGTGTGCATGGCTACATACCCTTGGAAGGATTACTCGTGATACATGCGATGCGTCTGCGGGGCGTAGAGAGAGAGTGTGTGTGAGAGAGAGTGTGTGTGAGAGAGAGAGCAGTGTGGTGGTTTGGTATTAACATTACTGTGGTTATCGTACGTCTATAGTCGTTTGGGAATAGGTATGCCTGGATCGGTGAATGGGACTCCTTCCTGCGCCTTGCCTTATGCATGTGTTTGGGACTGTTGTGCGCTTGGAGTCTGTACTGTCCGTCTCAGCGCGTGAGGTAGAAGCCTGACCCCGTCGGGGCGCAACAAGCCGAAGACTTCATGCCCTCCAACACGCGGCCATGTTCCCAGGGCATTCGATTAAAACATCGCTTCGACGCCCCTCACCAGACCCCGTCATCTCCAGCGTATCCTTTCTAATCCATTTCGTCCAGATCCCTATAACTCCATCATCCCCCGCCCATTGTTCATAGCACCGGCTCCCGCACCCAGCGGCCCATTCGGCGTAGTCCCTGTATCGATACCGCCAGCTTTAGGTACTGAGTTACTCGAAAGTGAATCGTGGTTGCCGGATAAGTAGTAGAACATGCGGTTTGCGATGATCGTCAAATGCTCGGGAAGGTACAGCGACGCGGCGATTATGAGGAGGGAGAGGAGGAGGAAGAGTACGGAGTCTGCAAAGACCATGTCGTTAGCGATTATCTTGAAGTAGTACCATAGGTCGGTGTGGGTGTGGGAGGAGAGCGACGTGGAAAGGGGCGGTGGCTCGTCTCCAAGAATCGAGTTGAGAATGCGGTTTGATGCGGTAGGACAAGGTGTTTATGACGTACTGAAGATAAACTTCTCAGTCGACGTCAACATGTACAGCGAGAAGGTAACTTCATATTGATAGCGCTTGCGCTGGAACCAGCGGAGCAGGGCGGATGGGTACAGCATTGCGGCGACGAGGAGCGTGGATGCGCTGGCTAGGAGGAGGATGGCGGATAGCGTCGTCGTGTCAATCATAGAACCTTTCGGTATGTGTCGTCGTGTTTGCGCGTGCGAAAGGTGTATATGAAGGTGGAATTGGAGGGTTAATGTGTCTGGGCGCAAATGTTAGGAGCGGTGGATGATGGGGGAGATGAAGGGTTCAGGGACGCGGATTCGGAGCAGGGATGGTGGATTAGTGGATTGGTTGATTGCGATCCGGAGCGGGTGGTCTAGCGCGTGGGCTGCATGGCATCATCGACGACAAGAGAGCGAGAAGTTTCTACACAGGACCAGAGATGCCAATGCTGTTGCAATGCCTCCGCCATGCCGTATTCCTCCCTAACACACACTCAACAATGCGCCTCCTCCCGTCCCTCCTCCGCCTCCGCCTCCGTCTCCCCACGCCAAACCTCCAAACCGCACACCTCACCACCTCTCCCTCCCTCCTCAATGGCAAATCCCTCCCGCCCCGCACCCCCCTCCTCGACGCCGACCTAATCGAAAACTTTCTCAAAGGCTCCGGGCCCGGCGGCCAAAAAATCAACAAAACTTCCTCCGCCGTACAACTCAAGCATATACCTACTGGTATCGTAGTCAAGTACCAGGATACGCGGTCAAGAGAGATAAACCGGAAGATGGCGAGAAGGATACTGCAGGAAAGGATTGAAGAGTTGGAGTTGGGGGAGGGGGCGCGGACGAAGGTCAAGGCGAGGGAGAAGGCGAAGAAGAAGGCGAGTAGTGGGAAGAAGGCTAGGAGGAAGTATAGGGCGTTGGCGGAGGGTAAGGAGAGTGATGAAGTTGCAGAGGAAGAGGGCGGAGAGGAAGTGCTGGTTAATGGTAGAGAGGAGAGGAGTTCAGATGGATTGGAGGAGAAGGTCGAGGTCACGGATAAGAGTAGGACGGTGGGCGGTTGATGATACTCTTGGTCCACGGCCAGGATACAAATCACAAACTGCGCACCATTGTGCTACGAGCATCGACAATGAACGGTATATTGGCACGGAGAAGGACAGCCGCCAAGCGTGTTCCGCGCGACAAGACGCCAAGCCCTGGGGATATGGCGACGATACATGTAAAAGTTGTAGGGCTCGGGGACGGCGACACTTGCAACCGAGGGAGCAGTCGAAGAACGTGGACAGGTGAACGCAGCGTCACTCTGATATAGACTTCACTCGCAGTTTGACTTGAAAACTGCGAATGGACTCGCGCAAGGCCTCTACGCTGTTTCGATCACGCCTTTCCAAGGTTGCCTTGAGCGCGACTTCCCCGCCGTCGTATGTACTCACCTGTCTCGATAAACCCTGCTATTCTACACCAGCTTCTTCAGTTCCAATCTCAACATGAGGTTGCTCAGCAATGTTGCGTCCCGTCGCTTCGCCGGTATCACAACGACCCGAAAGCTCTCAAGCACTTCCAATGGCTTTACGACAAGGCCTGGCGCAAATCTCAACATCGGCGCGCACGGTGAAGGCCCTCGGTATCGCAACTTCAGTACATCCAACAAAGCACTTGGTGGTTTCGCTTTCAACCCGTTCACCAAGACACTTCCGTTCCGCAAGCCACTTCCGTTCTTCAGCGCGAAGTGCCTCGAAATCAAAGACGCAGACTTCGCATGGTTCACGGCCCTCAACGTCGCTGTCCGTACCCACAGGAACAGAGTCTACCTGTCACATCCCGACCGCACCCCGCGTCTCGTTTTGCACGACTACCAACACACCCTGCGTGTCGTTGCCGACGCCGAGTGGATTCTGCGGAAAGAACAGAGGACGCATCAATGGGCTCGGGACATTGATTCCACACTCCTGTGGGTACTATGCATGACGCACGACATCACCCACGACATGAGTGACGCATGGTATCTGTCCTCAGATGAGAAGCGGAATCAATGGCAAATCGTACGCGAGTTCTTGAGGGCAGCGGGATGCCCGCCCAACATCATTTGGCAGGCATGTTGGCTCGCTGCACGCCTCTCGGGTGCTATTCAGATTGATGAGCAAGGATTCACCGTCACCAACTTCTCTCACGAGCAGCCCATCCACCGCGTCTTACGTGATGCATATCACCTCCAACGACTGGGCGCTGTGGGCGTGGCTCGATATTTCTATTTCCATGGTATGGATGAAGGGTACAGGGAGCCTGGGGTTGGTTTTGATGTCAGTTGTCTGCGGCATATGCACGGCGGGCAGTACGTCGAGCGGTTCACGACAGAGACCGGGGCGGAAATGGCGCACAAGCGGTATATGTGGACGACACACAAGTTTCTGAATGGGTGGGATGCTGAGAATGATGTGGGCTCTGTGGTGACGGGGCGAGGGTTCAGGTAGTGCTGGATATGTGGTGGTTCCAGTGGTATACACGGGGATGCATGGATTACTTCTCCTTCGAAGGAGCAAGATAGTCCTGACTCTCCGCGGCAATGAGACTCCTCTCCTGACTCTTCTCCTGTTTAATCCTCTTCTTGCGCGTGAACAACCTTGCAATCTGACTACACAATCCCACCCTCTCTTCCCTCTTTACGCCCTTCTCCCCCCTCCACATCCTCCTCTCTCTCCACCTTGTCAAACGTCCCCTTCACCATCGCTCCATGCGCCTTTAACGACCTAACGACCTCCTCTTTCCTCTCTGGCACCCTACAAACCCCCCTTCTCTATAAGATTCAGAATCGGGATGCCAACCCACCTCCCCTCATCAGCCACCTGCCTCAGCTCCTCCAGACGATATGTTACCAGCTCGACATCGCCAGCCGCCGCCGCTAACCCCGCTACATCGCCTTCAAATCCGTAATCCCAATCTCTCGTCTGCGGGAAGTGTTCTACGAAGGTTTTGAAGGTGAGCTGGCCGTACCCGACGGCGATGTCGTGCGCTACAGCATGCACAATCCCATCACCCAAGGCCCACTCTCTAATACCAAAGCCAAACCCAACATCACTCTCATCTACGTATGTAGAAAACCCAAAACCCATCCCGCAAACTCATTGCCAAGCTCCTACCACCCCATCGCAATGTTGTCAAAGCCATGCAGCATCCCGTATTCCTCGCATGCCGCATCTCCCTTACTCAGATCTCGCGTTGCCAAAAATAGCATGCGTCGCTTCCAGCCGTTAGGGCCGCAACGGCAACCCACAAAGAGCTTACTGCTACCCCACCGCAATAACACGAAAGTCATGCTTTGGAAGGCCTGATCGCGCGGTGTTGCCGGAAATACGGGAGGTGTTGGTCGATTAGTTATGTGTTTTGGGGGGCGAGGGATGGAGATGTACGAGGGTGGTGACAGGGGACACAGACGTCATTTCCTTATGCGGTCTGACCGGAGCTTCAGAGATGGGATACCCCTTCCAACGCGACCAAGGCGACCGTCTCTTCCTTTACTACGCGCGCAATCCCATTAGATTTCCCATTGTTACAAGTTTTCGCAATTCAACACTACCGTGCCCACGGCTCTCGTACGAAATCCAAGGACCCGTTGAGCGGCGAAATTGCTTTTCGTCACGAGCGCCCACCGTTTAGGCCTCTGCGTAGTAAGCTCGTATTAGGACCGACTTAAGATCGACACCAGGGTATGCTGTGGTGGATCTTAGGACAAGATGAGTTTTCGTTCGTGTTGAGTGGAGCAATGGAAGCCCTGGAGGTCGTGTCGAGGCCGTGCGGCTGCTGCAGGTACGGGAGGATGTGCAGCGAAGGAGGCAAATGTTCTCGTATTGGTTGTGGTCTTAAGAGGGCCAATTTGCCCTTGTGTATAGGCCTTACTTTACTCTACAGGCCTTGGTCTTGGTCTCTGCTTTTCCACGCTCGTTTATTAGGGTAAGCTTACTTGTCGGTCCGTTCGTTTGGTCCTTCTTCTTTCCGTGGTTTGGGGTATACAACGCTCTTTCCTGGTTAACTTTGTCGACTGAACTCGGATTGTTGTCTTCTCGACGTCGCCATGAAGTTCCTCGTTTCTCTTACGGCAGGTCTGCTCTCTGTTGGTGTGGCATCCGCCTCGCCAGCTGCGCCGCTGAACAAGAGAGCTGTTTCCACCGACGGAAGCTGCGGAGGAGCAAAGGGCTTCACTTGCAAGGGTTCTTCGTACGGCGACTGCTGCTCTCAGTATGGATGGTGCGGAAAATCCGCGGATCATTGCGGTGCTACCTGCAACTCAGGATTCGGCACATGCAGTGGTAGCACTACGTCAAAAGCAACTCCAGTAACGGTCAAGACTTCGTCGACACAGGCCCCACCGCCGGCGTCAACACCGACTAAGAAGGTCTCACCAGATGCGACATGTGGTGGCACCAAGGGTTACACATGCCTGGGTTTTGCTGAAGGCAACTGCTGCAGTGCGAGTGGATGGTGCGGCTCGACATCGGCATACGTGAGTACCCACCTACGCTTTGAATGACTATATACTGATTTTAGCAGTGCGGAACTGGATGTCAGGCAGGCTTCGGAAACTGTGGCAGCAACACCGGATCAGGATCTACAACCAGCAAGACTTCTTCAGCGGCACCATCGTCAACATCATCTGGATCTGCTCTCCAATGCTTGAACGGAAAGGATGTGCCGTACAAGATGACCTCGGATGCTGAGTACTCTGAACTTTCGGAGCCCTACAACCTGCGCGTTCCTTTCAAGCCGGCTGTCATTGTTCTTCCCACCACCAACCAGCATGTTCAAGATGCTGTAGTGTGCGCTGCGCAAGCTGGTCTCAAGGTCCAGGCCAAGTCAGGCGGTCACTCTTACGCAAGCTTCAGCTCGGGTGGCAAGGACGGCGCTATGCAGATCAACCTCCAGTCTTTCCAGACCATTCAACTGGACAAGAGCTCTGGTATTGCGACAGTCGGAGGAGGTGTCCGTTTGGGCAACCTGGGTGACGGTATCTACACCCAAGGCAATGCTGCCGTAGCCCAGGGTACCTGCCCCGGTGTCGGTATCGGAGGCCACTACACCCACGGCGGCTACGGCCACACCTCTCGCCACTGGGGATTAGCCATGGATCAAGTTGTCGGAGCGGACGTCGTCCTCGCCGATGGATCCCTCATCAAGGCCTCATCAACAGAGTCCCCCGACATCTTCTGGGCCATCAAGGGCGCAGCCGAGTCCTTCGGTGTCGTCACAAAGTTCTACCTCCAGACCCACGCCGCACCCGCCAGCATCACGTACTTCGAGTTCGGCTTCACCGGCATCCACGACTCCAAGAGCGTGTGGACAAACACCTTCATGCACATCCAGGACGTCGCCAAGAACGCTTCCGTAGTCGACGACCGCGTCTCCTTCGGCATCTACCTCGACAACTACGGCGGCTACAGCCTCAGCGGCGCCTTCTTCGGCAGCGTCTCGGAATTCAACACACAAGTCAAGCCCGAGCTCCTGCGCGGCCTCCCCAACCCCAGCGCCACCGTCCAGTCCATGGCCTGGTACGACTACATGGTCAAAGTATCCGGCAAGACCAGCATCAAGGAGCCTCTGACCGGGTACGACGAGCACGAGGACTTCTTCGCCAAGTCCGTCACCGTCCCTGAATCTACCGGTCTCACTTCCAACGCTCTGGATGCGCTGTACGATTACCTACAGACAGCCGACGGGACGGAATACTACATCATCATCAACCTCTACGGCGGCCCCGGCTCCGCTATCAATAGCAAAGACACTGAATTTGCTGCCTACAGCGACAGGGATAGTCTGTGGGTGCTGCAGAACTATGGCTATGGGGGTGATTCCATGGAGTTTATTAATGGCATTAATAGTGCTATTATCGATGCGCAGCCGCAGACGTCGTTTGGCGCGTACCTCAACTACGTTGATCCGAGTTATGATGCGGCGACGGCGCATAAGCTGTATTATGGCGATGCTGTGTACAGTAGGCTGGCGGCGTTGAAACAAAAGGTCGATCCGAAGAGTGTGTTCTGGAATCCTCAGGCTATTGGTGCGTAGGAGATGGGGTGGTTGATGGATGGGTGATAGGTGTTTGGGCGTTTTTGCATGGGAAGAGCTCCTCATGTATGTCGGGTTGCGTGTACTGTTTATGATTTATTTAGTAATGATACTACTGCAACATTCAAGATCACGTCCACATTCTCCTACATGAATATCTACAAATGGCATTGCCGCATCAATCCCCTGTCTTGACCACAGGCTCGCCCGCTTTGACCGGCTGATCATGAAGCTCATGAACAGTGTTAGCTTCCATCTCGTACCTCAAAGGCAAGACCTCGTTCACAATCGTAGGTTTATCTTCCAGCTCCCCTCCCAACTGCTCAAACCCCTTTCCATGCGGCTGACCCATCTCCGATATGTGATTCGACGGCGCTTCGTAAACGTCTCCACTAGGATGCTGGCCATCTCTATCGGGCTCGTACTGTTCAATTTCGGTAGCTGGTGATTGGTGTGACACTCTTCTTCTCTTTCTCTGAAGTCGGCGAAAGAGTAGCCAGCCAGCTGCTATTCCGAGGGCAAGCGTAGCAGGTATGGCTATTCCAAGGCCGATCTTGTGGCCTAGACGGAAGTCGTTGTGCATGTGCTGGTGGACGTTTTGATCGTGAGAGTTCGATGGATCTGCGATGGTGCTTGTCGGAGTGTTTGCGGTAGAACTTGTCGGTGTACTCGCTGAACCTGTACCCGATTCCGTACCTGGCGTGCCGGATACTCTTGAGGCCGACGTTGAAGCCGATGCTGAAGCTGCAGTTGACGATCCTTCCGGTGACAACAATAACGATGTCGTCGGCGTCGTAGAAGAAGCCACCGCCTCAGACGACGCACCACTCCCCGCGATAAAATCATCCACAATATTAAAATACTGACTAGTATCCGAATCCCCATCAACCGAGAAAACACTAAGAAAGAACAGCGTCGACTCTTCCAGCCTCGCATTCGTCTTGACATTCCACAGGTAACTCGTTCTATTCACGATACTCGCTGGATTTCACATGTTAGCTTTGCTTCTGTAGATAACCCTTGGAAGCCACGGAACGGAGCTGTCCTTCCTACGCATGAATGAACTTACGCATGATGAACTCGCCGTCGCCGGTCTGGTCTTGGCCGAGTGTTTTGACTTGGTGCAAGACTAGATCGTAGGGCCCGGTTTCGTCGCCGGAATACCATTGGATGTTTATGGTGTAGTCTTGCTTGTAGGTTGGGGGGTTGCTGAGGCCGCCGTCTGTGCCGTGGGTTGGGGGGTTGATGAATTGGATGCCGAGACTGGATACAAGTGGGGATAGTATGGCTAGCAAAGCATATGCTTTTAGACAAGTCATATCGAACTGGATCGTCGCCAATGATTAGATGATTGCGAGATTGATGATTCCGTAGCAGTAACTTGGTGAAACGAGTGACAGCGGGCGACGAGAAACACACGCTGAACAAGATTGGCAGCTGGCAACTGTGCGAGGTATTTGCACGTAATATCATGGCTTAGACTCCGTGTCTCTCATTCCTCTCGTTCCAGCAGCGAGAGGCGTAGGACGCAACAGCGCCTTGCCACGATGCGCCCCTCGTGCTGAAACTTCTTTGTACATATCGGTTTTGGGTATCAGCCTAGGGTCGACTTGATGCAGCCTTCATGATAACTGAAGCAAGCCATGAAATACTGGAGTATGAATACGAGAAATACATGTAGGTCTGTTCGGGGCCGACAGATGTTCGCACGGGGGTCCAACAGATGAAAGGGTCCCCAACATTAGCCGTGATCTTAGATCATCAACCCCAACAGACCCATGTATCAGCGCTACCGTGCCACATCAAGCGAGATGTGATAACAGAAAGTTAAGCGCCACACCCAGCGCTCCGTGAAAATAGAATGCTTGCAGCCGCCCCTAAAGTCTGTGAGCTGCAGGTACCGGTCTCACTGCGGCGTTCGCCCACCATTTGTATAAGGATCGCCCCTCCGTGGCGCCTTGCGATCTCGTGCCCTCCTCTTTATCTTCCCCCCTTTGTTGGCTTTTCCCCACCATGTCACTGTCGCTACCCAAAGTTTTCAATCATTACACATTGATCGCGCTATGCACATTAGCGTTGATTTACCACTTTCTTTCCATTCAAGACCACTTCACTGTCCGTGCGCCGGGTACGCCCGCGATAGCGCAGCCACCGCAAAACGGCGGATTTCCTAAACGCATTTGGTACAAGTTGGGCCCTAATGGCCTTTCTGAAGAGACGCGAGCATGGACCGATAGCTGTGTTAATAGCAATCCTGACTACCAAGCACATTTCTTGACGGACGACGACGGCGATGAATATGTTCGTAAGACCTTTGCGGAATCCCGACCGGATATCGTCGACGCCTACCTCGCTCTACCCGTCCCTATCTACAAAGCCGACATGCTGCGCTATGTCTTGCTATGGAACGAAGGCGGAATCTGGTCGGACCTAGACGTCTCCTGCGAAGAAGGCGTATCCATGGATGAATGGGTGCCAGGCGCATACCAGGGCATCGCTTCGCTAGTCGTAGGATGGGAGTTCGATCAAGGCTGGCCCGGCGAATATGTCCGCGAATTCGCCAGCTGGACGATAATGGCCAAACCGCGATCGCCACACATGATGCAGGTCATCGACGATATCCTTCAGACACTGCGAGACAAGACGGCGGAGCATAACATCCCGATCCAGAACGCGACAATGGATATCATGGGGGATGTGGTTGATTTCACTGGGCCCCGGCGCTTGACGCGCAGTGTGTATACGAGCTTGGGGAAGATACTTGATAGGGAGATTGACGCGCGCGATATGATGGAGCTTGTGCAGCCGAAGTTGGTTGGCGATGTCTTGGTTATGCCGGGTCGGTCGTTTGCTGCGTCGGCGAATACGTATAAACCGGAAGAAGAAGAACTTTTGCCGCCGAAGCTGGTTACGCATCATTATGCTGGGACTTGGAAGAACGACAATGGGGGCGAGCAATAGAGAAAAAGAAAGCGGGTGTCTTTGGAAGAACGTCAGAAACGCATCCATGAGTATGGTCGTGGAGCAATGGCGACGTTTTTATTACGCTTCCTGATCAAGATACATTTTACCATCATCGATTCGTTCTACGCTGTTCCAGGGTCGCACGACCGTCTCCATGACCGGTACCATATCCGAAAGGCAGGCTTGACAAGATCCTTGGCCGCATCGGCCGCGTCGATAGACATCCGCACTCTGGCTGTAACGAATCCTCTTCTCGGGTTACTGAGATATGACCGCCGCAAGGACTCCGTACCGAACAACCATCCCAGTCCTCTTACCAGGGGCGACAACACACGCAGTGACCGTCACAGTCACGCACATTGAAGCGCCCATCATACTGGTAGTCGTCCAAGTGACTTGGACCTCGGTAGCAAGTAAAGACGATGACTTCTTCCTTGGAGAGGCTCGCGTAGATCTCTACACCAGCCTCCAGTGTGTACCACGTGCCTCCGTCGATCTTGGCGGCTTCGTAGCGGGCTTCACGGTTGACGAAGAAGAGTGAAGGGTAGCCTCGGATGCTTTGTGCGATGATTCCTCCCTCCTCATGGATGCGGACTTCATCGGGGAAGTCGGCTTCAGTGCTATCAATATATTCTATCTGGTCCTGTAGCGAGATAGCCCATACCCTGGCGCGAAGTTCTGCGGGCAGGCTGGGGAACAGATGGAAGGTCTGTGTAGTCGATGTGTTCGACCATTGAGATGGCCGAGAGAATCGTTCTAGCAGTACCACTGTATCGTGATCCGAATCGCTATCCGAATCGCTCTCAGCGCCGTAATAGATCGACATGGTGTTGGCGAAGATGTATCGTTGGGAAGGCGGGTGGGGTTGCTAAGGTAATCCGTCCGGGGACGAGTATGCTTGTTGGTTGTTTTGGAGCGAAGACAATGTAAACACGAAGAGCTGTAGAAGTTATAGAGAACGCGAAAGAAACTCTACTATCGGCCAAGGCAGACGCGTTTGCTTGGTGTTGACGTGACGCCAAGCCTTACCTAGTATTTCACCATGGACCTTGAGGTGCACCTTTGCGTACCACAGACGAGTTGAAATCATCGGGGGGCAATGATAATAACGCTTACCCGGCGCTGAGTTCGAGATGAATGTCTAGCTCTTCGTGCTCGCCGTCAAAGTCAATTGATCAAGTAGCTTCTTGAGTGACCTCCGCACCCATCGTGAAGTGTCGCGGTTGAGGCCCCAAGAGCAGGTCAACAAGTAATCACACCGCGCAGACCATTCTCCGTAAACTCGAAGCAAGAATGATTGAGCAAAAAAGCAAAAAAAAGCTATGCATCTCAACCATGAAGTGAAGGAACGGTGGTGTCCTCCCCCCAACCCTGCTGACGCACCCACCCGCAAAATCCCGCGGGTCCTGATTCGTCCACTTTCTCCCAGCGCCGCCAAGCCCAGCATTCCCGCGCTTTCTCTGCCGCATCAACCTCACCAGACATCACGCCAGACATCACCCTTCCACCCGCGTTTAAACCCCAACGAACTCGCCAAAGATGTCTGTCTCATCCTTCGGCCACCACGGCAAGACGCCCGCTGCTGTCGTAAGTCGAGTCCCGTGCAATGGGAAATTGGAGGCGATGACGAAAGAAGAAGGAAGAAGCTAATGATTGGGAACAGAGCATGCGCAGCCCGTACAAGGCTTACAGGAGTCCTTTTGGTCCTCAGTATGTATTTTCTGATATCGATGTTGGCGCGGAACAGGTGGCGGACGGATTAGGACGGGGTTGGGGAGGTGTGGGAAGAGGAGGATGTGTTGCGACGCCTCGATAGACGGCGGTATGGGCAATTGGATGCCACGCATACGCTCGAGATGCGCATGGAAAAGAAGAGGAACAACCCAACCCACACCGCGCCGCCCTACCCGATGCACGCCCATCGCAACCTCGAAGCTCCAGACACTAACATACAACCACAGATACACCATCCCGAAGAACTACCACGGCCTCACCCTTAAGCAAGCCGCGAAATAGTACGTATCCCCACATTCCTCCCCCATTACCCTCCATACAAGCCCCCATATCCTTCCTCTTCTCTTCCACCCACCCACCCCCCACACACACTAACACCCCCCACAGCGGTGGCCTCGCCGCCGGCTTCGGTGGTGTAGCCGGATTCTTCGCCCTCTTCTTCTTCGCCGAAGTCCCCAAGGTGCGCGACGACATCATGAAGAAGATTCCTATTCTGGACAAGTTCTTCACGGTTGAGATACCGCCTGAGGATAACCCCTTCTGAGCTCTCTGTTTACGAGGCAGCATGGACTGGACTTGACTGGACTGGAATGTATAATATGGAAGAGGGGACAATTGGCATTGCAGACAGGGAAATAGACCGCTTTTGTCTTTGTCAAAATGGGGTCTGGATGTGATGATTGTAAGGTTGTGATGTAGTGATGTGTGAAGTCTGGATATGCGGAGGGCTCGTTATGTGCTCTATTGTGTCATGACTACTGACCAGTTGAACCGTCAGGCTTCATCACCAGCTCGTTCAATCCGCATGACAGTTCGCCACTAATAACTCCAGGACATTTGGTCATTGCTTCATTTTCGCGTGACTCTTACATCTATCAAGATGCTATCATATGTCATCCACCACTTTCCCCAGCCATCCTCTCTTTCCCCCATCAACCGCTTAGTTGGTCGGCAGCCTTCCAACAACCTCAGCCATCTCCTCATCAGTGTAGATCCTGAAGCCCTTGTCCTTGGTCACACTAGCCAACTGCACATTCTTGCTATCCAGCTTCTCCTCCATGACCTGCTTGAGCGTCTTGAGCGTGAGCACCTCGGCCTCGGGGAGCGTAAGCGACTTGTGGAATTCGTTCTGGAGTTCGGCCTGCGCGCCCTCGGAGCCGGAGCCGATGGCTTTGGCGTCGTAGCGGTAGAATGTGCCTGAGGGTTCGGCGTGGTAGCTGGGGGTGTTGTCAGTTTGTGATTCCAATTCTAGAGCTAGAGCTGGTGATGTTGTGAGAGGGGAGATATGGAGGGGTGATGACATACAGACTCGGACCATCCTCATCATAGCCCGCAATCAGCAGCGCGACACCAAACGGCCGACTCATGATGCTCTCCTCACCCTCAGCACCCTCGCCAAACCGCAGCGCCAAATCACATATCGCCTGCGTGCAGCTCTCCACGCGCAGTGGCTCAGCGTAGTTGAAAGCGTGGTTCTGGCTCTCGACACGCGCGTGCTCGATCATGCTGCGGGCATCGGCTTGCAGTCCCGACATGGCACATCCGATGTGGCGGTCGATTTCGACAATCTTCTCTACGGAGCTGGTTTCGAGGAGCGTCGAGGTGACGCGCTTCTCTACGCCGAGGATTACGCCTTCGCCGGTTGCGACCTGTGGGTTGTGAGTTTGGGGGTTTGCCGGTGTGATGGGGAGGGGAAACGTAGGGACGTACGCCTATTGCTGTTGAGCCGAGCTTGATGGCTTCGAGCGAGTATTCGACTTGGAAGAGACGGCCTTCGGGCGAGAAGGTGCTGCGGGTTTGTGAGCAGGCGGGTTTGTAGTGGGAGGCGCGGGGTGGACGAACTTGATACCACGGTCTAGAGGTTTAGTTAGTATAGATTGTACTGTATAATTGCTCCGGGAAGCTTACCATATTCGCTTCGTGCTATGAACTGCTCATGTTAGTACAAGAGCTCCAGCGGGGTTCAATGAGGCGTACCATGGCGGCTGTTTGTGCGGTGAAGTGATGAAGGTTTGTGGTGAGATATCCAAGTGCGTCTCGAACAGGGAATTCGAGATTGGGGGCGTATAGGCGGCGGTGAGGTGTTGCGGAGTTGTGTTGGCGGCTTGGATGTTTCTCTAGCTAGAGAGAGCTTCAGGCAACATGAACCGCGCATCGCGCTAGGGCGGGATGCCAAGACTTCCATCTGATACTCAATTCCGCCTTCAGCATTCTCACTCTCTTAACACAACTACCAGATACATCAAAACTTACAGTCACAATGTTGGGTAGGTGTCAGAAAGCTGAACCATAACAAGCGACGGTGGACCTTTGCAGTCGCATCTATCGACTGCCCTCCATCGGTACATCGTCTGGCACCAACTTCAAGGAAATACTGGAAAGGTAGCTCACCGCTTCTTGTCACCAAGCAATATTGCGTCTGAGATATCTTCACGAAAGAGTTGTATGTCCGGGAGCGTTCTCATCGCATTCTGACCATCAATTCGCCACCGCGCTTTGCCAACCTTTTGGGAATACCCATGGAATGCTACAATATAGTACTCAGATGCTGCTGAACTTTAGAATTGTAGTTGATGTAGTCGTGGAGCTACACCTGATAAACCACCTGTATCGCAGTTCAGTCTCACCGAAGTCATGCTGTCAACTTTAACGGAGTGATCTTGGCCGTACGCGCCTGAGGGTAAGATGATGAGTTATCTCAGTATCAGTCGTACAGTCAGGTCAAGTCACCTGGCTATGCAGGTACTCCGCGTAACGTCAACGCAGGTATCTGCTCGTGCCAGAATCATGTTGTCCGCAATTTCGGGCAGCTTCTCGTTGGGTACCGTGCGCGTGGCTAGAATCCCGATAGAACGCGGGAATATCTGCAAGCGACCTCACAGCCACGATATCCACCCGTTATCTCCCAAACTCGTCCACATCGCAGAGTGCTCCGAGTGCCTAATCGATTAACCAAGCTTCCATCGACATATCGAAGCTGTGGTAGGGGTAAAGCTTAGCGTACTGATTCGTGACATTGGCGCATGGCGCCGGGACGAGACGCCTTCCAAGACACCAAACCGCTGGAGTAATTCTCCGCATCTTCTACCTCTCCTACATCAACTTCGGTTCTTTGCCTGAACTTCAAATTCTTGCCTCCCGCATCCGCGGATCGTAAGCCGACGATGTGCGTCATAGCTCGGATCAAATGTGCCTGGCGTTGGCACCGTTTCTCCTGAGTTCGGACCAGCAGCGCTATCCACGTCACCATATTCTGGAACTTCGGCCTGCGACCATGATGGATGGTGCATCCGGTGCTGTCAACAACGAGCTCATAACCACAGTAGTGCGCAACGCCAACGGATGACACGGGACCATGTGTCTACCACACACTCGCATGAGGGTGTCACACTCGTATTAATGAACAAACTATTGACCTGAACAGCCACACAGATGCCGAGGATTTTCGATAAATCCGCGTGTGCCATGTTGCACGCCCGTCATGAGATGTGCAGCTCATCTCCCGCGGCGGGGATGATGTCGATGCTGGGTTATTTTTATCCGGATACGACCCTATACCGGGGCTTGACGTCGCTGTCTGGCCGTTGAGTATTGCTTCTCCACATGGGCCAATGATTAGCGAGGACGGGGCGAAAGGGTCGTTCCCTGTCTTGCCGCATCGGGCCTTCTAGAATGCTTGGTGAGCTTCAACAGTCCACAACAGCGATGAAAGCAGCAACGAACGAAGGATGCGAATGTCGGGGATGCTATGAAGGCTGCTGTTGAAGAGCCTGCATGCCAAGATTGCTTGACCAGGCTTCAGGGTTGGGATCACCGCCGGCATCCGCGTTCCTGCGTGCCTGCTCGTTCGAGAAGGCACTAATTAGCTGTGACCGTGCGGCTAATGCACGTCCGATGAATAGCCTTCAGACGGCAGCGACGTCTAGATCCAGCAAAACGTCACCGGTGAATAAATACTTCGCTGCGTCCTGCTCACCATTCCTCGCCCACGCCGCCTTCTCGCACCCTTCTCACTTCTCAAGACTTCATTCTACGTTTTTAATATCGTCTTCTTCCTCCTAATACCAACATCATGCGCGTCTCCTCCACCAT